GAGTCCTGGGTGTCTCAGCCCTGTTCAAGATAAAAGGCCTAGTCCCTCTGGCCTCACTCCTTCTTCCTCTTTGCTTCTCACTCTATCCCTGGATTCACTTCCTCCTGCCACACCCTGAGCAGATGAGACCTCCGATTCAGCTTCCTGACCACTCATTATGAGGAAATCAGCCCTCCCCCGATATTCTCTATCATCTCTCCCTACTTTATTTTCTTGGTAGCACTTATCACTGTCATTTCTTCTCTTCCTTGTCATTCTCGCACCTACCCCTGGCCTCAAGAATGAAAGAAAAATGAGCACTGTGATTCCCCAGGTTAGGAGAAACACTTGTGCCAGAGATCAGAAAACAAATTCAGGATAGCTAGGCACTAGAATGGACCCTAGGCAAATGTATAGAGACCAACGTTTACTAGTGGTTACCAGGGGCAGGAAGAAGAAGTCGTTTAGGAAGCACTGAGTATCGTGTAATGGTGATGGAAAATTTGACAATGGATAAGGGTGATGGCTGCAACGATGAATTTCATCAATTTCACTGAGTTGTACATGTAAAAAATGTTGAATTGAAAAATGTTGTTGTATACATTTTTACTGCAACTAAAAAAAAAAAAAAGGATGAGACCTAGAGATTATTGTATCTGATCCATCCATTTAACTGAGGAGGAAACCGCGGCCCCAACAGGGGAACATTCTAAGCCAGCATAGTCAGTCACTGGCACAAACCAAAAAACAAACAAACAAACCTATTGCCATCGAGTCAATTCCAACCCATAGGTGACCCTATAGGACGGAGTTGAACTGCTCCATAGGATTTCCAAGGAGCAGCTGGTGGATTCGAACTGCCGACATTTTGGCTAGCAGCTGAACACTTAACCATTGCGCCACCAGGGCTCTGTCACAGTCGGGGCTAACTCTCAGGTCCTGGGTAGTCCAACGATTGCAACAACACAACACCACTACAGGAGACTCTGGAGTCCCAGAGAGTTTAAAGACAGCTTTTAAGTGGCAGAGAAGGTCCCCGAGTAGCGCAAATGGTTTGTTATTGGCTGCTAGCCCAAAGGTTGGCGGTGTGAACCAACCCAGTAGTGCCATGGAAGGAAGGCCTAGAGATCTTCTTCCATAAAAGATTACAGCCAAGAAACCCCTATGGAGTGGTTCTACTCTGTAACACATGGGGTCGCCATGAGTCGGAATCAACTTGATGGCAACGTTTTAATTTTTTTCAAGTGCACAGCCATGCTTTAAGCCTACCCCATGCACTTTCCTTTGGACACACCAGTTAGGAACCAAGATACATAGCTAGCCTGTAATGGATTTAATTTCATATCCCCACAAAAAAGGTTGAAGTCCTAACCCTATACTTGTGAACATGACCTTGTTTGGGGAAATAGGGGTTTTCTTTTGTTTTCAGTTGAGTCAAAGGAGGGTGGGTCCTACTCCTAATTCCTTCTGAAGTGTCCTGTAAGGGAGGGACACACAGGGGGAGAGAGACACCATATGACCACAGAGACAGATGTATCTGTAAGCAGCAAAGGAATGAAAGGATTGCCGAGAACCACCAGAAGCAAGGAAAGAGGCCCAGAGAAGTAGTCCACATGGCCGAGACCATGACTTGGACTTTTAGCCTCAAAACTGTGAGAAAATAAATATCTGTTCTTTAACCCCACCCATTGTGTGGTATTTTGTTATAGCAGCTCTAGGAGACTAAGATAGAAGAGGCTAGAAGAGGTAGACAGTGAGAATGTTTGTTGGTGGCCAAATGGCTTCCTTACCTTTGAGATATCCTTACAACAAATTTCATTCTGTTATGTTTGTTGAAAACAAACAGGCACAGTCACTTTAATCACTCTTGGAAAATCAAGAAGCAGTTTATCCAAAATGTATTGCTAAAAGACTCTGTAATGACAGCTCCCACATTAAGGACCACCTCAGGGTAGCTTAAAAAATCTGTCTGAAAATTTATCAGGGGCAGTATGGAAAACAACAAAAAAGAAATATCGCCAAGTTGTACATGTAGAAAAATGTTGAAATGGTAAATATTTTGTTAAGTATATTTTCACCACAATAAAAAAAAAAGAAATAGCCACTTTAAAGAAATCCATTTGGGAGAATTATATGCCTAAATAGCATATAAAAAAGTTTCCTTTTTTTTTTTTTCATATTTGCACTCTCTCAGAGTCATCTTCCTTTGCACATTCTATTTCTGAAGTTGGAAAAGAATCTCCTGGTTCTTCAACTACAATTGTAAAAAAATGCTTGTTTAGGTGGTTTCAAGTAAAATTAGATCTGTAGCCTCGCAAATCAAAAAAATCTATTTTAACCCAGCAACAGCAATCTGGGTTTTAGCTATGATTTCTCCGGTCACTTGAATTAAAAATTGTTCCTGATTTTAGAATGTGGTGATAATACAACTTCTGTTCGCCCATGAGGGAAGTGAAAGCTGAGGCCCAGGCCTCACGAAGGAAAAACTCGGAAGCTTTGTGTTTTCACAGGGTGAGCTCCACGCTGCTCCATTAGGCATCTTGGGACAATATTATACCACCTGCTTTCTCCAAAATAAGAAGCTCTCTGGGAGTCCTTTTCATTCCCAAAGAGAGCTTTGCACAGGTCTGTAGGTCTTTAGGTGTTACAATGTGTTGTGAATTATGATCTTCAAATATGTCCCCCATCTATTTACTGCAAATCTTGTGTCTAAGAAGTATCTTGTTGCTCTGGGATTGTGCTTTGTTCTCAAGAAATGTTAAGTCTGTGGAATTGTGTTCCTGGAATTCCTCAGTGCTCAGTGTGGCAACAGCCATCTTGCAACCCTCATCACATGACCTGGCCTACTTAATCCACTCAGCTCCAAAAGACAGAGCAACAATGCATGAGATAAAGTGTAAGGGAGGAGGGCTTCAAACAGACAAAATCTGGTATTCAGCAAAGCTAGTGACTTCCTCAAAGTCCCTGGGTGGAACAAACAATAAACACACTGGGCTGCTAACAGAAAGGTTAGAGGTTTGAGTCCACCCAGAGGTGCCTCGGAAGAAAGGTCTGGTGATCTACTTCTGAAAAATCAGCCATTGAAAACTCTAAGGAGCACAGTTCTACTCTGACATATACGGTGTCACCCTGAATCAAGATCGACTCAATGACAACTGGTTGGTTTTAGTAACTTCTTCACTTCCAAACTTCCATATAACTCAGTGAAACACAAAAACATAATGAAGCAAGAATAGGATATCATTAAAGAAGGCTGTTTTTCAGATTTTCATTACACATTAATGACTCTGAGTGTGTTTCGTCAAGAATATCACAAATGTCGTTTCTTCCATTCCTCACTACTATGATCATTTCTTACACTGAACTATCCATTTGCTCATTCATTTTCATCATTACTGTCTTCTCTTCATAGTACTTATTGGGTTTTTATTTCTTGTTCTTTTCTCAGTGTTTCTTTTTTTAAAATTATTATTACTATGAAAAAGACAACTAAATTAAAGACACCAAAAAAATTAGATGAAAAGAATCTTTTCTACTCTTTTAATTATTTTAGTGTATTTTCTGCTAGTACCTTTCTATTCATCTATAGTATTGATAGTTATAATTACATTGTATCTCAATTTTCAATCCATGTTTTTCACTAGTAATATATCAAAGTACTTTGCCTTGATGTTTTTGTAGTTTTAATTGCATAACGTCCATCAAGTCGATGTCTCCAAAGTTATTTAAGCAACTATTGGTGGTGAGATGTTTCTAACTTACCATCGTTATAAATAACTATGGTTAAAAAAAATGTTAATTAAGCTTTTCCATATTTTGGATTTTTTCCATAACATAGTATCCAAGAAAAAGTGGGTCATATGACATGAAAGTATTTGTGGATATGGGTTGATAGGGCCAAATTGCTTTATATTGACAGATACTAAACTCACTTAAAGTCAAAAGTCTATCCCTGCTTTCTAATTTAACCTATTCTGATCAAGTAGTTTTTAAAAATATTTCAGCCAATGAATTCAATCAGCCAACAATCTTTACTCACTGTTCTGAAAAAGAGCAAAATTCTGAAATGAGCAAGACATGGGGGTGTGGGTGAAATAATGTCCTCACTTAACTCATTGCCCTTTGAAACATATACCACGTTTCATAGTCCATAATATTCTCCTGTTCAAATCATGCCTACCCTTCACATCTGTGTTAGTTATCTAGTCCTGCTATAACAGAAATACCACAAGTGGTTAGCTTCAACAGAGATTTATTTTCTCACAGTCTAGGAGACTAGAAGTCCAAATTCAGTGTGCCAGCTCCTGGAGAATGCTTTCTGTCTCTGTTGGATCTGGGGTAAGGTCCTTGTCATCAATCTTCCCCTGGTCTAGGAGCTTCTCAATGCAAGGACCCCAAGTCCAAAGGATTTACTCACTCCCAGCTCTTCTTTCTTGGTGGTATGAGGCCCCTCTCCTCTCTGCTCGATTCTCTCTTTTATATCTCAGAAGAGACTGACTCAAGATACAGCCTCATCCTGTAGATTGAGTCTTGCCTCATCAACATAACTGCCTCTAATCCTACCTCATTAACATCATAGAAGTTAGGATTTACAACACATAGGATCATCACATCAGATCATAAAATGGTGGGCAATCACACAATACTGCTGAATCATGGCCTAGCCAAGTTGACATACATTTTGAGGGGGGACACAATTCAGTCCATAACAACATCCAAATAGAGCCCTACAGAAATCACTGACCTCTGTCTTGGAGCCCAATATAACCTGTCAACAAGTCAAGATGCCACAACCAACAGAAATCCTGGGGAGGACCAGGAATGGAAAATGATTTTTGAAAATGTTGAGCCTCTTCATTAAGAGAAAAACGGCATTTCACTTGGAGAATTAACCAACATCTTTGGTTGGAATGCCTCATACCTCCAAGGTGAATGTGTAATATAAGCTCATCTAGAGCAGTAAGACCTTCTTCAACTCAAAGCTGCTGAGAAATTAGCCAGGCATATCTGTGAAGGCTTACCTTCTTTTGTCCTCAGAGGTTCCAGGTACCTCTGGGTTTATACTCTGTCCTTGACAATGGATTTCTCTTTCAGCAGTCTGATGATGACAATAGCTACCAGGTCCTGAGCACTTCCTCAGTTCCTGGAATTATGGAGGAAATTTCACCTACATTATTCATGATCTTCCCAAGAATCCTATGATGTGGGTATCCTATCCTGAATATCCAATGGAGAAATTGAGGCTCAGGAAAGTTAAGCAACTTTCCCAGGTTCTCTCAGTTAATAAGTGGAGCACTGGAAGTGAGCTTCAGGTGCCTGACTCTGATGCTGGAATGTTCTGTTCCATGTCCCAGGGCTGTAGACATAGAGTGCTCGTCCTATGAAAGAAATGGGCTTCCTTTCTGGCTCCAGCCCTGACCTCCTGAGGTGAGGATTCTCCTAAACTGTTGGTCCTTCCTTCTCTTACTACACTTGTTCATATCTCTATGACTAGTTCTCAAGGAGGCCCCTGGGTGGCACAAACAGTTTGCACTCAACTACTAACCTAGAGGTTGGTGGCTTTAACCCACTCAGCAGTGCCATTTAAGAAAGGCCTGATGATCTGCTTCCATGAAGATTACAGCCAGGGGGAGAATATCCAATAGGCATGGTAAGCACAGCGCTTATCTTGTTTACCAGATCATCTGCAGTGAACAATTTCACATTTTTTCACCACACCAAAGATTCTGCTTCTAGGTATGGCTGGTATCGGTCTCTCTCCCAACCTCACAGTACCTTCCTACAGAATCAAAAGCTCTTTTCAAATGTACAATCCCTGACAGGGGCAGATGACCCAGTAAGGAAGGTAAGCACAGGATTACTTTTGCTTACTTACTAACCTGTTGTGAATAATTTCACATGGATTTCACCAGATGAAACCCATGTGAAACTGTTCACTACCGATGATCTGGTAAGCAAGGTATACACTCTGTGCTTGCCTTGCCTATTGGATAATGTGTTCCTGACTATAGCCAAGAAAACCCTATGTAGCAGTTCTACTCTTTAAAACATGGGGTTACCATAGTCAGAACTGGCTCAATGGCAACAAGGTTGTTTTTTGTTTTGTTATCAAGATATTTAAAAATAATTACTTGGAATAGCAGGAGAAATAAATAAGAGGAGACTTGGACAAATAATTAAAACAGGCCCTTTCAGTATTTTCAAAAGGCAATAAAAATTTGAAAAGCAGTTCATCAGATTTCGGCGTATGAAAAAGCAAAACTGCATTAAAAAATTAAATCCTTAAATAGATTTTTACGTAAAGACAGAGTCCTGAGCCCTTTCCTTAATTCCTTTTTGCTTTGTGAACCACCTTTCTTCACTTCCTCTTTGGAGACTAGAAACTCCACTGAGGAGATTGTTATGAGGTCCTGCCCAGCTGTTCAGTCTAAGTGGGCCAGGCCAGGGAAGGCCATGTCTGGTGGTCAGTGGTATAGACACCAGAAGGGCTGGTCTCTCTGAGCATCTGCTCCCTGTGCCCAGGGAACCACGGCTGAGCAACCACGGGGCAGGCCTTCTCCAGGTGTGCCAGGCTGAGTCATGCCATGCATTTCCTACGGCTCCTGTTTTGCTTCCAGCCCCCTCTGGGTTTGAGTCTCCCTGAACCCCATCCGTCTCACCGCACTTCTGGCACTTCTTTCTTTCACTTCATGGCCCTGGCATTAAATTAGGTGTATCTCCTTGATCAATGTCTCTGTCTCCCCCAAGAACAAAAACTGCTACTTGTTAGAAATCCCTGCTCCCAAGTCCCAACCACCTCCTGATGCTCTCTGGGGGCCCCTTCCTCTGTTATTCCTGCCGGCTCCTATTTCTAAGAGTTGTTCCTGTTTCCTTTTATCCTTGCTTTATTTCCAATGGAATGCCTGGGAAGACTGGAACTCTGCCTTGTATTCTGATTCCCTCATTCCTTCCCTTGGAAAGTGTATACCCTGCCCCATTCCATAGGAGGCTGATGTAATTTGCTGCAAAAATTTCCAGGGAGGGAAGAGGGAGATGCCACTAATTTCCTCAGTTTTCCATCTAATTCTCGGCCCCTCTTTTTTCTTGGCTTGCTACCCAGCTGCCTCTGAGCTGCACATTCTAACCATGGCCAAGGTGAAGATCAGACATTTAGTCCCTCCTTACAACAGTGACTCTCAGATGTGTGTGGTGAAGGGTGAGTTTCAATATTTTTTGAGGAAAGAGGCTAAGTTGCTGCAAGTATTTTGGTCCTATATACAAGAGAGTAAAGACCAGTTTGTCCATTATTAAACACAGGGTGAGATCCATCAAATGCCTCTCCTTAGAAGAACCTTCTAACCACTAACACTGTGAGAAGGAAAAGGAGGTGCCAGATATCCAAATGTGGATTGGAATACTCTTAGAGAAAACTCACCCCTGATTCTTGTGGTCTCATAAAATGACTAATCCTGAGATACTGTAATTTGGTAAACTCCTGACTTTTGCAGGTATATCTTATCGAGTTTCTTAGCTCACCCAGACTTCTACTTTCAGCTCAAACAAGAGAACCATCTTGTGATTTTCTGGCTACCAAGCAACAAACGACATTTCTTTTTGGGCTTCAGGTTGACCCTTCAGCTTCTTAAAGCTACCCAACACTTATACCAGTAGTTTCTTTGAATTTTGGCCACAGAATTTTTCTCTCCTCTGCCCTCCTGTTGAAGGGATCTTAAGATAGAATACTTAAAGGGAAATTGAGCCTTATAGTTCAAAGACTGGCTCATGGGGGAAAAGCATTCATTAGCGGTCTCAAACCCATGTCATTGATTTGGTCTGACTATTTTCTCCCTGGATAATGTCTTTTCATCTCAGGTGGCATGCTAGTATTGCTGTTAATATTTTATTTTACTTATAAGTTTATTTATAGCTGTAACACTGTGTACAATGAGCATAGAACTTGATTTCCTTTCTCTTATTTTCTGGTAGAGTAGCGTAGTGGATTGAATGGTGAACCCTAAAAAGATATTTTCATGTCCTAATCCCTGGAACCTGTAAATGTTACCTTATTTGGGAAAAGGGTCTTTGTAGATGTACTTAAGCTAAGGATCTCAAGATGACAGCACTCTGGATTATCTAGGTGGGCCGACTCCAAAAAAGTGTCTTTATAAGAGATACACAGAGAAGAGGCACATAAAGAAGAGCAAAAGGCCATGTGAAGACGGAGGCAGAGATTGGAGTTAGGCAGCCACAAGCCGAGGAACACCTGCAACCACTACAAGCTGAAGAGGCAAGAACGAATTCTTCCTTAGAGGGAATGTAGACATTTAGTCCCTTCTCACAACATTGACTCTCAGCTACGTGTGCCTTTCAGAGGGAGCATAGCCCTGATGACACCTTAATTTCAGTATTCTAGCCTTCCGAACTGTGAGAGAATAAACTCCCGTTGTTTTAAGCCACCAGATTTGTGGTACTCTGTTACAGCAGCCTTATGAGACAAAAACAGGTGGCTATGATTTTGGTCTTTGCATTATCACCAGAAGGAGGAAATTTGAATTCGGGCAGAACCTCTGTTTCTGGAATGTCAGAACTACTCAGATCAGCATGGAAAAGTTCAAATACAAACCAGCTATGCTGTGAAAAGAAGCCCAGGTGGCGCAAGTGGTTTGCAATTAGCTGCTAATCTAAAGTTTGGTGGTTCAAACCCATCCAGCAGCTCCATAGAAGAAAATACCTTGTTATCTGCTTCCTTTAAGATTTCAGCCAAGAAAACCCTATGGAGCAATTCTACTCTGTCACACATGGAGTCACCATGAATCAGGGGCTGACTCAAAGGCAGCTAACAACAGCCACATGCTCCATACTATAGCACTCCCAGGTTACAGAAGGCAATTAAGATCATCCAGTGAAACTCCCCATGGGCAAACAGAAAGCTCACTCTTCTGCCTCTATAATGCCCTGCCCACCAACCCCAGGGTAGCCTAAAATAGAAGGGTATTATGAAGATGTTACAGTCTGAGCAGAGTTTGAACTTGATAAATCTGGGGGGAAAAAAATCTAAGTCCTGCCTGAAACACTGCAGCTTCAAATTCAATGCAGCTGGTGTGTATCACTTGGCTTAACAAAATCTCTTATGAGCCAGGAAGATCTTCACCTGAGATCCTCTGAGCTCAGAAGAGCCAAGACTTAGGTAGATGGGATCTTGGACAAGTCATCTCTCATTCCTGCTCAGGGCAAATGTCATGGGAAGCTTGCTTTGCCTACCAGTGGTTTTCCACAAGGTTCCATGATGGGTGTCATGCCATGTGTTTTCATTCAAGCTCAACAGCACACATGACTTTCTAACCCACATTTTCTCTAAAGCTTGTATTTTATCCTGAATCACTGTTCACTTTCTTCATAGCACTTAATATAATGTCTCACTGTAGATATAGTTGTTAATTTGTATATTTATTGACCATTTTCCTTACTAGACTAGAATCTTCATAAGGGTAGTGACCACAACTGTTTAATCCATCACTATTACTATTCTGGGTACATACTAAACACTAAGTAAGTGTTTTGTGGAATATTTGCTGAAGTTAAGGCTTCTAATCTCCCTTTCTAGTTATAAACTCCTTAATGATGGAGGCTTTCAAGATAATTGACATATTTCAGCCCAAAGAGAAGAAGGAAGACTTTGCAAGGCTTTGAGACCAGGAGACCCACTTCCTGATGCATTTACACCATCAGTAAGTTGAACCATTATATTCAATTTAACTTGCATATGTTTTGCCAAGTGACATGTAAAGATAGTAATGTAATAATGAGGGAGAGACACACAAAAAAGGAGACATGGTCCCTGCCCTCGAGTACCTTATAATCTAATGAAGGAGACTGGTGCATGTAGTAGAAATACGTTGAAGTAGAATAAAACAGCCCCATGAGGGCGTTCCAGTGGTGAGAAGACAAGCCAAACGAGGAGAATGAGAAACCCAGGCAGGCTTCACAGAAGAGCAAGGATGGATTACCCAACAAGCAAGGTAAGCATATGCTTAGGGCATCAACAAAACAGGGACACTGGTTGTCCAAAGCAAAGACTCATAGATACCAATAAGACAGGACACAAGGAAAAGCGAGTGCCACAGTCGAAGGTAAGTGGCAAGGCACTAAATGAAACTGATAACA